CTGGATGAGTGGTAGTGGTTGGACTCATGGTAGAAACAGAAGAGACCATGTGTGGAGTGGTGGTGGCACTCTGAGAGGTAGGTGTCACCGAAGAGGTGCTGACTGTTGGAGACTCACTGGGAAGTGAGGCCTGAGACCAAGATGTGGTTGGGAAGTTGCTGGTGGTCTTGAGGGATGTAGATGAGGTGGGCCCTGTGTGGTGTGTCGTGTGGGAGACTGACAGTGTGGGAGAGGAGTGTGTGGAGGAAGGGGTGTGGGGAATACTCGGTGTGGTAGATATGGTATAGGTATCTGTGGTCTCGGTTCCTGTGGCGTTGATGGTGGTAAGGGAAGGTGTGGATTGCTGTTGCATTGTTGAGGAAGGTTGTGTCATATGGACAGTTGATGTCTTCCTGGGTGTGCTGAATGCGACATGGGTTTGTGTGATGGCTGTGGTGGCTGTGGTTAGTGGTGGGTTAGTGGCTTTGGCCCCAGTCACCACAGTGGCTGGATGGGTTGTAGCGGTTGGCCCCAGAGTGGAAGCAGAGGACATAATGTGTGGAATAGTAGTGGTCTTCTGAGAGGTGTATGTAGCTGAAGAGGTGTTGACTGTTGAAGACTCACTGGGTGGTGAGTTCTTAGACCAAAATGTGCTTGGAAAGTTGCTGGTGGTATCCAGCGAGGTTCCTGAGGTTCCTGTGAAGTGTGGAGTGTGGGACTCTGAGAGCGTGGGAGCAGACTGTGTGGAGAATGGAGTGTAGCCAGTGCTGGGTGTGGTGGATGTAGTGAGCAACATTGTGGTGCTGGCACCTGTACTAGTCGTGTAGGCCACAGTCATGGTGGTAGCATGGGCCGATGTGGATCCCTGCTCGGGTGTGGAGGAAGATTGTGTCGTGTGGACAGGAGATGTCCTGGCTGTGCTGAATGACATGTGGGCCTGGGTGGTGGAACTGGTGGTTGTGGTTCCTGGTGGTGCCGTGTATGTGGATCCTGTGATCATGGTGGTTGGATGAGTGGTAGTGGTTGGCCTTATGTTGGACGCAGAAGAGACCACGTGTGGAGTGGTAGTAATGCTCTGAGAAGTAGGTGTTACCAAAGAGGTGCTGACTGTTGGAGACTCACTGGGTTGTGGGATTTCCGACCATGAAGTGGTTAACAAGTTGCTGGTGGCACCTAGGGAGGTTCTTGAGGTCGATCTAGTGTGTTGTGGAGTGTGGGAGACTGACTGCGTGGGAGCAGACTGTGTGGAGAATGGGGTGTGGGCAGTGCTGGGTGTGGTGGATGTGGTGAGGGCAATTGTGGTACTGGCACTTGTGGCAGTGGTGTAGGCAGTGGTCATGGTGGTAGCATGGGATGATGTGGATTCCTGGATGGGTGTGGAGGAGGGTTGTGTCATGTGTATAGAAGATGTCCTGGCTGTGCTGAATGACTTGTGGGTCTGTGTGGTGGTAGTGGTGGTCATTGTTCCTAGTGGTACAGTGTATGTGGTTCCTGTGACTATGGTGGCTGGATGAGTGCTAGCCGTTGACATCATGGTGGCAGCAGAAGAGACTGGTTTTGGACTTAGCGTGGTCAGGGTTGACACTGAGGCTGTTGTGCCTGGTGGAGACACACTGGGAAGTGAGGTCTGGGGTCTGGATGTGGTTGGAGAGTGCTTGGTGGTTCTGAAAGATGTTTCTGAGGTTGGATGTGACATGTGTGTCATGTGGGAAATGCCCAGGGTGGATCGAGAATGGCTGGGCACGTGGGTTTCAAGCGTGGTCACTGTGATTTCCGTGTGTTGCGTGGTTGATGCTGTCGGGCGGCCACTGCTTTCGCTGGCCTGCTGCGTGGCCAGTGTAGTTGCTCCCGAAACGGACGGTCCTGCCATCGGTGTCTGTGTCGCGGGCACTGTGTGTGGCGTTTCCTGGTGGGCACTTGTGGCTGTGGGAGTATATCAGCTGTTTTCATGCATTCCTGGCTCTCATCAGTCCCCTCCTTGTCCTCATATTGTCACTTACCCTTTGTCCTTTTTCCTGGCTTCTTAGCGCAGACTTCACCCTCCGGTGTTTCCCTCCCGCCTGGCCCACACTGCTCAGGAGGTCTCTGCTCTCCGCTGTCCACAGCTGTCACTCTGCTAAACTTTGCCTACCCCTCCTCTCCATGGATCCAGGCTGCTGTGAGGTCTGTGGGTGGTGGGAGACTGCCCTGTGTCCCCCCACGCCCTTGGCTTGTCTGTCCCATTTGTCCTGTGTTTATTCTTGACCCTGCTATGCTGGGCTGTGCTGAGACACACCTATGCCTGGGAGTCCCGGTGTGCCACGGCTTGTGTCTCACCTTGTCCATGGGTTGTCTCCCTTGTCATGGTCTGTGCAGTCACTGTCGTCCGTGCTGTGGCCTGAGCTGTGGATGTGGTAGCGGGGCTGGCGGATGACACCGTGGGCTGTGTTGTCGCTGTCGTAACTGTGTGGCCTGTGGCTGTTGATGTCACTGTGACTGTAGGTACCAGAGGCAATGTGGCAGGTGTGGTGACAGCTGGGGTGGCTGGAGGGGATTCTACGGGGACAGATTCTCTCTGTATTCCCCAGCTCATGTCTGAAGTCCCTGCATCTCCTGAGATTTTGGCTCCTGCCTTCCTCAGCTCACAGAGTAGCACTGGCCTCTTGTCTTCCTGCTCTGACCCTATGTCTTCCATACTCTGTGTGGCAGTGGGGGCCTGATATCAGGGTCCTGTGGGCCAGCTAGGTGGGCAGATGTCCTGTCCCCTTAGTCCCCAGGAATCAGAATGTGTGCCAGCATGGGGTGGGGTGGGCTGCTCTGTCCTTTACATGTTCTAGTGGCAGAATCAGTCAGCACAAAAATGGTCACATCAGTGGCCAGCTTGGGCTATACACATGTTTTTCAGAAAAATCTCCACTTGTTTTGTAGCTCAGGGACCTGGGTTATGACATCTCTCTATGGTGTCACCTGGGAATGAGCAGACCCTGCCCCACACCCCCGTTACCTCCTGAGGATGCAGTGGAGGCCGAGGCTGTCCATCTCTCTGTGGAGACTGTGCTCAGTTGGCCCGGCATCTGGGTGCTTGTGGGTGTGGGCAGGGGGCTGGGCCGGTCGGTGCTGTTGGCCACTGTGGTGGGTGGGACTTCTATGTAGGGCAGTCACACCCTCAGGATGGGAAGGGCCTGGGCCTGGTACCCCCGGGACAAGTGTCCCTCTCCTGGTAAGCTGTAGTCTCACTGTACTTAGGATCCTGGGGCTGGATGGGAAGTTGGGCACCAGGCAGCCCTCCAAGGTTCTAAGGGACCCACCCATGCAGTTGTGCTGCCTTTCTCCTCTGACCTAGATGGCACCCACCCTCAGCAGCAGGGTTACTAAGGCTGGGCCAGTGTGGGGCATAGCATGGGGATGATCACCTGGGGAGGGTGGCAGTGGTGGTGATGTGGGAGGCAGGGCTGCAAGAGGAGAGGTGGTCAGGAGTTGCCCCTTCCCGTCCCTCCTTGCCCCCTCTTGCACCCTGTCATTAGCCCTGGCAGGGAGGAGTGGGGTCACCAGGGAACTCCACAGGGTGGACTGGACCTCAGGCAGGTTCTTGCTGAGCTTGTGCCTAGCTGGCTGGGCCGTGCCCTGAGGCTGGCCAGGGACCACCGTGACCTGTGCTGCCTTCTGTGCATCAGCATCAGCGGCAGGTAGGGTGCAGGTGGCAGGTTCTGGGCAGGACAGCAGCTTGGGCAGGACTTGGGTATCAGGTGCCTCTGCCACAGGAGGGCCCAGCCCAGGCTGCCTGGGACTGACTCACCGCAGGGCACGCAGAT